ATGGCGGTTGAGCGGTTAAAGGAAAACATTCCCTCTGAACGACCAATGAAATCGTTTGATTAATTGTATTTGAATCTATAGCATTCTTTTCTCAAATTGTTGTCCCATCCCCCTGCACACCTTCTCGAGCTCCACCTCCAGCACATTCCAATTACGCTAGGTTGGGCTGTTTGGAAAGAATGGAACCGAGAGGGAAATTAAAGCCAAAGTTTAAGTAAGCGACAGTCGAGATACGATCTAAATAAATCAGTAATCCCTGAAGGCATTTAAAGAGGTTCAAGACATCGTTCTTGTTCAACTAGATAGATAATGCCAAGTACCTAACGGGCCAAACGCAACAATACAGATAAGCACACAACAAGAGGAGAGATAGAGAGAAAAATAGTAATTAATTGACTGCTCCATGAATAGGTAGATAGAACAAAAGTCAGAGCACCATAAAGAGAGAAACAAATAAACAAAAAAAGCTTTGGAGACAGAAAAAGAAAGAGGACGAGAGAGATTAACAGAGAGATTAATTTAATTATACTTCTCTATATAAGTGATATCCATGCTCTTCTATCTATCTATCTATCTATCTATCTATCTATCTATCTATCTATCTCTTTCTCACTATCTATCTATTTATCTATCATTGTCACACTATCACTTTCTTTCTATCTATCTAGCTATCTATCATTGTCACACTATCACTTTCTTTCTATCTATCTAGCTATCTATCACTTTCTCACTATCTATCTATCTATCTATCTATCTATCTATCACTTTCTCATTATCTATCTATCTATCTATCTATCTATCTATCTATCTATCTATCTATCTATCTATCTATCTCTTTCTCACTATCTATCTAACTATTTATCTATCTTTGTCCCACTATCAATTTCTATCTATCTATCACTTTCTCACTATCTATCTAGCACTTACTCATTATCTATCTATCACTTTCTCACTATCTATCTATCTATCTATCTATCTATCTATCACTTTCTCATTATCTATCTATCTATCTATTTATCTATCTATCTATCTATCTATCACTTTCTCATTATCTATCTATCTATCTATCTATCACTTTCTCACTATCGATCTATCTATCTATCTGTCTATTTATTTATTTATCACTTTTCTCATTATCCTTCTATCTTTATCCTTCTATATTTATCACTTTCTCATTATCCTTCTATCTATCTATCTATCTATCTATCTATCTATCTATCTATCTATCCGGAAAAGATTCAGCAAACTTTAAAGATGTTAATTTTGAACTGGTGAGTTATCATCGATGAGGTAGCATGTTCTCCGCAGATCCGGGTCACTACTGTTTGTTCCGCCCTGGTGCACACTGCCCGCGGAATAAGAACAAAAAGAATACTGGGGTGATCAAACTCAGACTTTGATCACGTGACCACGATTGTACCAACGATAAGCACGCATGTGGCTGTGTGACGAAGCTAAAGATATGTTATGGCGAAAGTTCGCATATTTTTTTACTTAACTTCTTACACACACACACACACACACACACACACACACACACATATATATATATATATATATATAATTAATGTTATTTTATTTAATAGAAATAATATTATCTATGAATTCACGTGTACCTAAAAGAATTATGTTCTTGATCAAACCAAATTCATAAATGATTATCTTGGCGAGACTACAACATGCCTAACAACAAGACAGAAGTTACATCTCTCTTTCTGACCATAGCTCAATTAGGTCACATTTAAATACACATAGTGACCTATCAAACTTCATTCGCAACACACTCGTTGACAATACAAATATAATAATGTCATCTGCATGTAAAAAAAATCTAAAAATGATGGAAGCATTATTAATAATAAAAAGAAAAAATGACTAAGTCAATACTCAATAACATCAATTATGAAAAGTGCTATAGTGTTCTGACTGTCTTCGGAAAATAAAGTATTAACTTTAAATACAAATAGAAAACAATCCATATATTCAGTTAAAATTTAAAATAAAATAATCCTTGATAATGACTACATATCCAGAAAAGAAGTAAATTATAAGAACATAAGGAAAATGAAAAAAAGATATATTCTTCGTAAATTCTCTCTCTCTCTTCTCTCTCTCTCTCTCTCTCTATATATATATATATATATATATATATATATATATATATATATATATATATTAGTTGGTGCAAAATAATGACGTAATAATGTCGTTATTTGACGTTAAAAAAATACGTCAAAAAAACGACATTATTACGTCATTATTTTTGCACCAACCTAATATATATAATGCACTCACCTGTCGGTTTCGACGCATGAGGATCTGTCCACTTAAATGAGTCAGTTATGAAATTTTATGTGAGAATCTTAAGTGGCACCTAAGACCCGCTAGTGATTTACAAAGGAGGTCACATATGGTGCAAGAGTAAGGATTGTGGCATGATATCAGTATTATATTGGCTGACCTTTTAGATCTTGCTCTCGCAACTTGAAGACTATTCAGACAAGCTGATTGAAAACTAAAAGACGTTGATCTTCATTATACCCGCTCCAAGATAAAAATGAACGAATCAAGATAAACCGCCAGAAAAGCCACACAAGTGATTTCATTAAAGTGGTGAAGGCTTGTGCAGAACCATCCACACTTTTCGGAATTATTAATACACTCAGTCGGTGCAAATAATTGCCACAGACGAAGCAGACAGTAGACCTCAATAATCATATATATATATATATATATATATATATATATATATATATATATATATATATATATATATATATATAATATAGTGGAAAATATACATACATACGCAAAATATATATATAAAAAAAATACCCATACATGTATATTTTCAGAAAAAATTTTCCAAGAGGAAGAATCCAGGTAGAACTCAATGTCTAGGACAGAGTAAGATATAATAAATTGGCTTAAACACTAATATTAGTGTTTAAGCCTTTTTATATATATATATATATATATATATATATATATATATATATATATATATATATATATACATACACGTATGCAAAAGATATGTGAGGAGAAAGAAATGCACATGATATCGAGCAAAGAGTATCGAGTTTAGAATAGAATGCGACGTGGTTATCAACAACAGTGGATAGATAGATAGATAGATAGATAGATAGATAGATAGATAAGAATATATTGAAATACATAGTAACAGATTGAGATATATACAGAGGAAAAGATTGAGATAGATAGAAATAGAGAGAGAGATAGGCAAAGACAAGATAAATACATAGTTATTTAGATAGATAGATAGATAGATAGATAGATAGATAGATTGATAGATAGATAGATAGATAGATAGAAATATACTGATATTAATATTTGAGATAGATAGATAGATAGATAGATAGAAAGAAAGAAAACGTACAAACTATTTGATATTTTTACATTTAATTGGTCTCTCAGTATCATTTCACTCTATCACCTTAAATAAATCCACTGAGTAATCTCAACATTATCACACTTCGCTTTCTAGTTTTTGCATAAGGGATTAGCCGAGATAAATACCTAGATAAACAAAGAGGATTTTTTGTTGTTGCTCCATTGATACAACTCCACAATATAATTTTACATTTCTACCAACAAGAATGAGCTCATAAACTTTTATTCTCACCACTTTAACAGATTAAAATGAGGAAGCTTTATAAGAATTTAACCCCCCAATATTTACATCAAGAAAATATATGTGTTGATATAGTTTTAAAATCCGATAATACCCTCATTATTCTATACTCTGTTATCCTCATCACCATTGCCATTTTCGTGATGTTTCAGCCGTTGTACACTAGGGCCTTCTTCAGGTAATTGAAATTTCGATCTGATCCCATTATTTCGTCCACTGCGGTAGATAGTTCTAGTTCCAGGTGTCATGCCCCTGCCGGATTTCTCTGAATCAGTTATATCCATTTAAGTAAACACGCCAACTTTTTGTTCAATTCAGCTGTAGCCAGGTATTGAACACACAACTTTTTGGGTCAAGTCACTAGATTCAACCAATGCTTTTATCTACTGGGCCATGTGTCATAGGAACTAGAAAGATCTAACCCTGTGGACGAAATAAGAGGTTAAGTTAGAAATTCCATTCACCTGAAGAAGGCCGGACGTACAAAGGCCGGACGTACAAAGGCCAAAACGTCGTGGACATGTCAGCGAAGATGGGGACAACAGTCCGAAAAAAGTAAATAATGTAAATAATTAAAATACCTCATCTCAGAAATATAAACAGACATACAAGGAGCGTTAAGATTTATGCAATAACCAGGTTTTAAACTTTCATCATCAGATTGTTACAGTAAAACAACCCACACTCAACAAAATTATATTTCAAACCAGTCACAACATATTACAATGCATTTAAACACATTTAATATTTTTTCTCTCACGTGAAAATTTTTTTTCTCACGTGGTCAGGTACGAAATCGTAGAACCGTATTAAGAAATTACGACCTGCGTTTGCTATTCCGCGAATGTTATCGTCATATAGCAAACTTCTACGTAAACAAAGCAAGATATAAACTTTGACTGTGAATATCTCTATTGTAACCATGATGATGGCTCATGTGAACCGAAAGCTTAGATCGACGACTAGTATAATTAAGAAATATTCAAATTACCAATTCCCATAATAATTATATCTTAAGTAAATTCTATGGGAAAAAAAAGTTAAATCTAGCATGGAATCCTCCTGTAATTATAAAATAGTGAAAACTGCCCATTCGAGAGCAAATGCAAATCTATTAACGTAATATACCAAGCAACCATTGCAGATAAAGGAAATATGACAAATTATTATGTTTCCGCGGGAAAATTAAAACAGAGAATTTATATCCATAGGCACTCATTTACTAATCCTAAATTAAAAAACTAAAAAGTCTTTTAAAAAAAAATTGGGAATTGAAGAAAAAGGGTTTGAACCCTCAAATAGATTTGAAAATTGTAGGTTTCGCACATAATCCTTATAGTTTTAGAGATAGGTGCATGCTATGTTTAGGGGAAAAATTAGAATAATAAAATACAATAATCAAGGCAAACTATTAAATCAACAGAAAGAGCTAAAATGTAGATATAGAAGCAGATTCAAACTTATATAAGAATATAGAACTTACCTTATTACTGACTCCCAAAATAACCACATTCTCCAGACTGATGTAACAACCTTTGATTAATGTTTATTTAATATCTTCATTTTAAGGAATTTCGGTTACAGCTTGGTATTCTTAATGATTAAACCGATCCTTAATATATATATATATAAATATATATATATATATATATATATATATATATATATATATATATATATATATATATATATCTTTATGCACTAGGCATCCGTCGACATTCATTCTCTTCCCTTATCTAAAACCCTTCCCACCACATCTCCTAAAATTCTCTCTGTTAAGTTTCAATCTCCCTCCTCCTCATATTTACACTTTCTCTAAATTCTGTTTTCACTTCCGGGAGTGTTTTTTTCTGTTTTCATTTTGAATTTGTAGGTCTGATGAATTGGATCGTATTTATGATTCCAATGGAATAAATTATGACCATGGAATATTAGTGTTTGTTTTTTTATTATATATATATATATATATATATATATATATATATATATATATATATATATACAAACTCATTTCCATACACCTTCGTATTTTAGCTCTATCACTAATATTGAACGATTTCCACTAAATACCGAGCATATAAAAAAATATATATATATATATATATATATATATATATATATATATATATATATATATATATATATATATATATATATATATATATATGTATATATGTATATATGTATATACAAACCCATTTCCATACACCTTAGTATTTTAGCTTTATCACTGATATTGAACGCTTTCAACTAAATACCGATCATATAAAACAATAATAATAATAATAATAATAATAATAATATATGTACATATACGTATGTGTATGTATGTATGTATGTATGTGTGTATCTGTGTATATATGTGTGTTGGACATCATGATTTATTCCATTTAGTGTTTCGGTAGTGATTTTGCGAATCTATTATATAGATAATATATTCTAACTTTAAAACGTTTTGTCATTCAAATCTCCCATCACTTAATACTTGTCGAAATACAGTTTATTGTCAATCCTATTAAAACGTATATGTTGTTGGTATAGTTTGGTATAACCTCCCTTAAATTCATTTACATACAGCTAAAGGCTTTGTCATAAATACACTTTCATTCAATTCCATCTC